TACATTTATCTGCTTATCTCCTCATACCTAAGGTCACCCTTCAAAGGATCTTGTAGCACCTTTGGGTGCCCCAACACCCTGAAAATCACTGAGCTAGAACAAAGACCCAACACCATCTCCATGAGAAGCAGAGAATGCAGTGCTTAACTGAGTGAATAAGAGTTTAAATTTGGAAAAGAAAAACCTGACCTATATCAGTTTGGGCTTCACAAAGTTTGAAGGAAAAATAAGAACAAGATCCAGCTGCACTTCTGCATTTCCACCTGACTGCACTCCTCACAGTTTTTAAACAACCTCAGAATCAGCCACACTGAAAGGCAGAGCTGGCTAGGTTCAGAGTTATAACTTCTGGGGTTTCTTTTCTCTTTTCAGCAAGGACTCTGATCTCCACCTGTAGCCTAGACAAAGATATCCTACTATAGGGCTGATCCATCAGTGTCTCTCATCTTCTACGAAAAAGCCTCCAGAGAAGCCTACATACCCCTTAACAGCCTAGGCTGGCAAATTATTTTCTTTCCATAAACAATCATGGCACTTATTCTTCAATATAGATGGTTCCCTTTTCCCCAGCACATTTATATGGTGTTACATCCCAGAATACTAATGTTCTGCATGTCCTAGGGATTCTCTAACATAAAGCAGTACAGGCTACTTGCTCTGATATGCCCAGAATTAACCGATAGCAATACAATGATGATTCAGTGTGTAGATATGGACACACCACGGTTACCATGAAGCATTATTAAAAAGTTACTGTGTGAATACAATTCAGCTATGCATTATAACTAGGACAAGTTCGGAGTCATTATGCACTTTAAAAACCCTGTATTTATCAAGTAGAGGAGGTATTCTAGCTAATAAGGGAGTAGTGGTAACTATTTAGAGGCAAGTAAATACAAATCCTCCCAGTCAAGACTGTGTATAGGACTACTACAGCAATTCTAGTTCCTGCCAAGATAAAGAAATTAAAACCAGAAACATATTCTGGGGCTTCTATACAAGCAATCTATTAAAATGTCACTGTTGAAAATGTTGATGTTCATGTTTTCAAACTACTTGCTTAACACAGTGTGACAACAATTAATGGCCATTTCTAAGCTTCGCTACAACCAACTTGTTTTATTAGGTGACATTTTTAGAAGGTGTTTTTTTTTTTTTAAATTAGACCTGGACTATAAAATGGTAAAACTTCAATTTAAAAGTCTAACCAAATATCTTTCTAAGCACAGGATCATCTTAGTTTGAATCAGATGTGCACCAATATATTGGTGCCATATCAGATCGGCACCGATAAAAGAAAAATTAACATTGTTGACTATCAGCTTTTTTTGGCCAGTGTAGCCGACAATGTCACCCATAAATATAATAGCCTTCTGACCAGGGCCCCCAGACACCATATGCATGGGCACAGATGCATACATGCACATGGCCAGGAATGTAGCCGAGCAACATGAGGAGCAGGGCACTGCAGGTAAGTCTGTGGAGGGGAAGGGGGCAGATTGAGGCCCCCATGGTGAGGGAGGGAGTGGGGCACGGGCAAGGGTTGGGGACACTGCCCAGCCAGGACAGTGCCTGAGACCCGGGGCCAGGGTGGGGGGCAGGACAGAGCCACAGGCAGCTCGCCCAGGGGGCACAGGGAGGTGGGAGGGAGTGGTAGCTCCTTGCCGCTGTGTGCATCCCTAGGGGAGGCATAGCAGGGGAATGTGCCCCCTTGGATGTGTGCATGGGGAAGAGGCGGACTGCTCACTGTAGGCTCATGGCTCTCCACCCTTCTGTCTTTGCCCAGGGAGCCATGAGCTGATCACGCATCTCCTGCCCATCCGGCTGCAGTGATGGTGGCAAGCTGTGCCTCCCGCCACCGGGCAGGCAGGGGATGCATGGTCAGCACGTGGCTCCCAGGGAAAACGCAGGAGGGCAGAGAGCCGCAAGCCCACAGCATACAGCCCACCTCCACCTTCATCCTGCTTGGCTCTGCTCCTAAAAGTGTCCCTGCACTTAAAAATGGCGGCAGCAGTACTTGAACTAAAGCTCATTTGACGAGCTTTAGTTCAATTGCCCCCGCCACCATTTTTAAATGCCAGGATGCTGATCCCCTGGACAAGCCACCCATGGCTCTGTCCTGCTTCCTGCTCCAGCCCCAGGATCCCATTTACTACCCTGGCTGGCAGCGCCCCACCCTCCGTCCCATCCCCTGTCCCCTCCTTCCCTCACCATGGGGGCCTCAATCTGCCACCGCTACGCTCCCCCACACCCCTTCCCTTCCACAGACTTACCTGCAGAGAGCTGCTCTCCACACTGCCTGGCTGTGCTCCTGTAAATCAGCTACTGGATTGGTATCGACCAATATGCCTGGTGAATAATTGGCTATAGGTATCGGCCAAGAGAATCTTTATTGGTGCATCTCTAGTTTAAATAAATTAAATGCATTCACTTTTTGAAGAATACACTTTTTTTTTTAACCATATAGGCTTTCACAGGAGGAATCTATGTAAAAGGGCCTAAAACATGTTATGCAGTAAACATCTCCCTTCCAATATACCTACATTCTATTGCTGTGTTTCTGTAGTGCCTAGAAGCCCTAGTCGTGGTTCAGGACCCAAATGTGCTTGTGCTATGTACAATCACAGAATACAAAGACAGTCCCTCCTCCACACTTTTTCAATTGAAATACATCCAAATACTTATACAGAATAATAACATAATCTAGCCTGTTTTAACACTTACATACAGAAAAAAGGAATGATGGCAAAGTAAGCAGCCCCACGTGACTTTGTAACTTGCCAGTTCTCATTAAGCCAAAATCAAGTGCATAGGATACCTTTTAACCTCTTTTCTAGGAAACAATTAGTAAATATCCCTAGTCATACATCAAAAATACTAGAGAACTAGCTAACATTATTTTTCTTTTATCTGCACAGTTTGTACCTATCTTTATAGCCTCATGTACACAAATATGGATTTAAAAAATCTATGTTGATATATGACAGCAATATGACCAAGAGATAATTTGCCACTGGAGCAAAATCTAAAATTCTTACTACTCAAATATGCCCTCAGGAAAAGCTAGAGCAAACTGATAGACCTTCAGAACATTATTAAGATCTAACTCAGGCCCAATATGACCTAAGGAGGGAAGGAGATGGAACCTCAATTTCAGAGTAGAACATCCTCCAGTCTAGACATATTACAACAACTCCAGACACACATCACATGTAAAGGCAACTCCAGCAATGCAATGAACCAAATCTCAATTTAGAGATGACAGCAAGGAAAAACATTTAAGACATTTAAACACAGCACTCATTTCTCAATAATTTTGTGCGCGCACTCAGACACACACAACATCGTTTCATCAAATAAACCATATACCGCATTAGTTTTAAAACATCTTTACAACTGCGTAAACAAAATGTAGCATAAACAAGGAGAACACCTTGAAACTCTTGGACTCATATCTTTTGAAGGACTCTGTGTGTACTACGTGTATCCAAACCAATATTCTGAACTTGCTTATCACCTTCAATTCCTCTCAACTCTTCCCTCCCCTCCACTCCCTACAATTATCTTTATCCCAGGCCTGTTTCATACGAAATACATAAGCAGCAGGGCTGTGCGAAGCTTTGGTCCCTGTTTCGATTCGGCGGAAATATGGCCCGATTCAGATTCAAAGATTCGGCCACCGAATCGAATCAAAGACACTTTAAATCTCTCCAAATCTGATTCAGAGGGTTCCAAATAATGTAGAGAGATTCGGAAAGACTCAGCAATTCGGATATAGACACAGCTTTAAATGTTTTTTCTACATACCTCAAGGTACCAGGCAGCTCGTGAATGCTGCAATGGTGGGGTGCATGGAGCGTCCCAAAGGAGCGTGGGGGGCTCCCCAGCACGCTAGGCAGCAAACTGGGAAGTGGACCAGAAGCACTTCCGGTCCACATCTGGTTCCACCCGGGAGTGTACAAGGGGCTGCTCCTGCACCTCCCAGCTCGGCAACTGGTGCCTCCTGGGTCTGGGGGGATACCTGGGGTCCCCCCCACAGCCAATCGCCGATCCAGGGGGGTCCCTCGCACACTCTGCGGCAACCCCAGAAGTGGACCAGAAATAATTCCGGTCCAGTTCCGAGTTCGCTTCTGAGCGGGGGAGGGGGGGGGCGGGGAGAGCCCCTGCGCTCCTATGGGATGCTCCATCTGCCCCAGCATCGCAGCATTCACCAGTCACGCCTGTTACTTCAAGGTTTGTAGAAAAAAAAACATTTAAAGCTGTGTCTATGACCAAATCATTAATTCGCCGAATCAGCATCGAATCAGGGACAGTGATCCGAATCAACTAATCGAATCACTGTCCCCAATTCAGGCCAAATCCGAATCGAATACGGCCTGTTTCGCACACCCCAGGAAGCAGTCCTCACAGCAAGGACCAAATTCAGAATCTTGACAGGGGTGTCCTAATTATTGAGCTGTACCTCCTCCCTCTATCTGCTGTACTGGCTCTCAAATGCATACCTGCATAGTGGCCAAACTTTGATAGGGGGGTTTCCCACAACTGAGCAACTGAGACGCAGGTGGTCAAGACACTTCTGAGGCAAGTGACGTAGGTTTAAATCCTGTAAGGTAGAGGAAAATATACAACTCAAGTCTTCTATATCTCCTGGCTACTGTATAAAGGGAAACAACTTGATCAGTTCCTCTTCCTCTAGCTATGCTTTGTAAGTTTCCTTCATTTCTGAAGAGAACAGCATAGGTACCTAACTCCAGAAGAAAGTTCCAAATTGTAAATATGTTGTAGGGTTCTCTAAATGCCAGAAAGGAAAATAATTTAAGACACATCCCTCTTTTCAGTACTGCCTATTTGCCAAAGTAGGCAGCAGCTGCCTGTTCAGTGTGCCGTGTATTGCAAAATCACATTTTGGAGTATCTTAATGCATATAACGCACACATTTACAGCAAACTTAGATGCCCAACTCAGGGTTACATATTCTACTCCGAGAGGCAGATACCTACAAGTTACATGTTGCAACACCCAACTCCTTTTGTGGAATTAATCCTTGGTCTTTCTCCATGTCTCCTTTCCATCCTATTTAAAATAGATAAGTATTATAACCCTTCATTCAAAGGGATGTTAAACATTATACAGCTAAACATTATAAGACTGCAAAATTGTTCCAATATAAGTGGGGGAATGGAAGACTCAGAGATAGAAAGACTAAACAGGAAAAGAACCTTTGCCCACTTTAAATACTTTAAGATATACAAAAACTCTAAAATGCCCTTTTACAACACTACCTTTCGTTTTCTAGGAAATTTTGCCTGGAAAACTAAGTGAACTGACCAACTCCATCAAAAACATGGAAGTGAAAATTGATCAACTCAAAAGGCAGGAAACTTTTTGGGTCCAACTTCAAAACTGGGAGCTTTTGTTATTAAGCCATTAGCTTCCACTTGACTTGAATTACTAAAATAATTTTAGGAGGTATACATCCAATATTCAAACACTTATACTTCTATTAATGTATGAGCTGGCAGCCTACCTACTGAGATGTATTAGAAAGCCTTGAGAATAGGTTACAAGGGAAGCAAAAGTTGGTGTGTTTTCTTATTAAGTTCAGAGCTCATTAGGTAGAAATCTGAGAACTTTTTAAGTTGCATAAGTGAGGAGAAAGAGCCTCAAAAGAGGAAAGCATAAGGGTGTAGGCAAGCATAATGACATAACAATAAGCTTCTTTAGATAAAAACTGTTATCATTTTGGACAGGAAACTCAAAGAATCTGTGGCATCATTCTAACCTTGTAAAAAGTGGTATAAATGTAGATCAGTCTCAAAGAGACCAAAGCTCGCTCGCTCTGCCAGGTAAAGTCACTGCTACCAAGAAAAGTGACATTCAATATAAAAAAAATCCCGAAAGAGAAGATTATGATCAACTAGTCTTACCTTCTACATAAACACAGGCCACAGAATTTCACTCAGTAATTCTTACATCAAACTCATATCTTCTGGGTGACTTAGTTTTCTTTAAAAAAAAAACAAAACAAAACTTGATTTAAAGGCTTCAAGTAATGTAAAAAAACAATACATTCTTCACTGAGATGGCCAAATGGATTTAGTCCTCACTGTTACGTTATGTACTATTTCTTGCCTGATTTTCCTAGCTTAAATTTAAGTTAATATGCATTTAAAAATTCAAATGTTTACAAACATCCAAGGACATAAGAGCTTTTTAATATGAGGGTGATTAAATACACTAAACCTTGCATGAACCTAATACAGGGTGCAGATATACCCTGCTAATATTTCATGAATTAAACTAAACTACTTCAATCTGTGTTTTTCTGACAGCTAAACTTAAAGATTTACACAATTCAAAATTGTTGACGTCACCATCCTGCAGCCTACTGCACTTCTAACTTTTACACTTTTGCTTTTTAGTAAATCGTTACCTAAGAACGACTCAAGACATGACTGTTATGAAGCTGAACAATGTCAAGGACAGTGTTGCCAAAGAAAAGACTCTCATGTTGGGATGAAGCAAAAAGTTCTCTCTTATGGGACCAGCTTGAGCCACCAGCAACAGAATTGAAAATCAAATCTCTGCTGACTAATAGAATCATAAAGCATTTCCTAAGCATTGCCAAAACCCTCAACCCTCACTAGGAGTGTGATGAAAATGTCACGGATAAAGTTCTCCCCTCATATAGAACACATGGCTTGGTAGCAATCTCCCTTCAAGGTGCTATGAGAAGGTAACCTGTTCAAGCAGGTGGAAAAGATCTGCACCGCTCAAGTCCCTCACCAATCAATACATTTATCCACCATTCCAGTTCTGAGACCATCAATGAGGATCTTTTATGGGTCAGCTCTGTTTGCATGTTAAATATATGGTAACCAAAGATATCCTGAAGATGGAAATCTTTCCAATTTGAACATTTCCTAACAAAGGAAACAACTGGTGCCATCAAGCTTGTTTATATAAAAACCAATAGGCTAGATTGCCTATTAAATAAGGGCACCATGTTTTTGGCATGCCAGGTCTCCAAACAACCTAAATTAATTCAGGACCATCCTCTTCTCCAAAACAGCTACGTGCAGCTAGCTGATGGTCCCAGAGGGTGCAACCTCTAACAGAAGTCCATCCACATGGATTTCCCTTGGTATCTCTAGCTGAGCATATTTACAGCTGTTCTAACTTGGGTGGGAAACGCTTAGTACTCAACTCTTAAATAAGTAGTGTGCTAAAACCTAAATTGAAATCAAATCCTAAATAGCATTACTTCTACTAGAACAGAAAAGCCCGGAATATACCTGCTATCCAGATGTGATGCTTATTTCCACTAAAATCTCAAGGTCCATAGAGATTCTCTCATATGGATGGCATTCAGATAAACTGTGCCTAGCTGTACTCTTGTGTATTTCAATTATCAGCTGGGGTCAAATGAAAACTTCATTAATAGGAATACTAACAACTCCAACACCCTAATGGTGACACAAGCTGATCTCCTGATACTCTCCAAGGCAATGTCCTTTTTAAGTTAATTGCTCAAGTAGTGGGAATACCATTTCCTCATATAAGCAGGACATCACCACCACTAAACATTTCATGAAAATATAGTATTAATTTTATTCCCAAAAAATACAAAATATAATGACACTGCTATACTACAAACAAAAGATACTTCCCAAGTGCATGTAAATATTCAATGGCCAGAGCATGCTGCCAATTACTTCTCTCTATTCAACACCTAACTTTTGTTGGGATGACAATCTCAAATCTGACAAAATAACTGAAGACCGTGAAACACAGGCTTAGTAAGAGCCCACATTTTTTATTAGTATTACTAATACCTGAAACAGTATCATAACTTAATGGGTATCTACCATAAGGGAATGGATTTCCTGCAGCATCTCTTTCTGATAAATATTTAACAACGTTAATAGGTTGTTGTGAAGGGGGAATGAGGGACAAAACTCTGAAGGACTTTATAAAGACCTGATCTAATAACCCAGCCAAATAGTACTATAGATCAGGGGGACTTAATCACCAGCCCACAGGCCAGATCTTAAACCCAGTCATATCATCCAGCCCATTGGGCTTCCCAAAGGTCTGAAAATTTGGCAACAGTGGAGTGAGTGGTGGCACCACTCTGCTGCCAAACTTCCAGACCCACGGGAAGCTCTATGGGTCCAAAAGAATGGCCCTGCTCACTAAATTGGGTGTGAAGGATGGCACAAGGACCAATCCCAGTACACAAGGGCCAACTAAGGCTTCACAGCCTGATCTGGGCATGCAAGATCAGGCAGGGATAGTGCAGGGCCTGATCCAGCACCACTCATTTGGCTTGCAGAGCCAAAAGGTTGAGCACCACTGCTCTGTCTACCAAGAGTAGTAGACAGCTTTTGTAGTAGACAGCCTTTAGGACCATCGTCTTTTCCTGAGCAATGTGGAGCTGATGGTCCTGGAGGGCCCAACTTTCAACAAGAGTCCATCCACATGGGTTCCCCTTGATATCCCTAGTTCAGGGGCAGGCAATTATTTTGGATGAAGGCCTGCTTACCGAGTTTTGGTAAGCTGTCAAGGGCTGCATGGGGAGCCCCACCCCTTGACAGATGCCTTGCTCCCTGGCAATCTTGTGACCTGAAGTCCCACCCCCTAACCTTTGCCACCAGAACTCCCTCCCCTTGCCCCCAGAAGTACTCCTTTGAGGAAGGGGTTTTGCCATCTGGGAACCAGAAAAATATCAAATTATATTCTAAAAATCGAATGTCTACAACATTCATTAATTTGATTTTTTTTTAAATGTTTGTCCTGATTTATATGTGTTTGTGTAATGTACACAGAGGTGATTGCACAATAGCATATGCCCCCCATGCCTCCCCTCTGGTGTGCACAGCAGCAGGAACCGCCGCCCTCCTCCACCGTGCCTCATGAATGATCTGCCCACAGTTCTATCCCACCCCACCCCTGCCCCACTCCCTCCCTCACCATGGGGGCCTCTATCTGCATTCCCCACCCCCTGCCACACACCCCTTCCCTCCCCCCACACACTTATTGGCCAGACACTGCTCTCCAAGCTGCAGGGCTGCATATTGGCAATCAGACTGGCATCAGCCAATATGGCTGGTTAATAATTGGCCATTGGTGTCGGACAAAAAAAAAAATCTTTATCGGTACACCCCTAACAAAAATATACCTGTTGTCCAAATGAGACAACAAAAAGAATGTAAATTCCTTGTTACACCATCAGCTGATCCAAAATAGTGAACAAGAGCACAGGAACCATCTATTAGACAACGGTTACTTGCTCAGGTATCTTAGTCATATCCTGGACAGATTCCTCTACTAGAACTGACTCAAAGCCAGCTGACAATTTAAAAAAAAAAACCTGGTGGGAAGGTAAAGGTTCACTCACAACATTGGTGTCCTACCACAGAGATGTATTTAGCATAAGAGCCCCCCAGCTTCTCCAAGTTGTAGTAGCATTCCCTTGTGAGGTTGAGTGATGATGTAACTGATGAGACACACAAAGTATATCAACAATATATCAGCAGTGCTTCAGAAAAATCAAACATTGGCTGCACCAAGGGCCTCAGTATAATACTGAAAATACAAGGGCCAATAGCCTGAAATCAAAGGCACCAAACTGTAGAATAAAAGGCAAATTTCTATGCAAAAACATTGCTCCCACTGCCCTTTGAGCTCCAACAGCTTCCCATCAGGGCAAGATGGAAATAATGAAGATAAAGCAGGGGTGGGCAACTATTTGGGCCCAAGGGAGTTTTAGTGGACTGTCATGAGCCACACCCTCCCCCCACCCATCACCAAAACTCACTATCGGATCTTGGGATGGTGACAGGATAAGGCCAGAGCCTGGCGCAGAGCCACAATTCACTCTGTACCCATCACAGGACCATGCAGAAGCAGACTGTGGCTCTGCCTCAGCCACCGACCCTGTGCAGTCACTGCCCCAAAATCCCGTCTAGTGATCCCAGCCCCCAAACACTGCTCCCCACCCACCTGCAGCCCCATCCCATCAGCTTCGCCACATGCCCTACCCACATGGGTCCCACCTCCAGTGGTGGGGGGGAGGGGGGGGTCGGCGCCAGGAGAAAAACAGGCCAGGGTGCCTGGGCAGCAGGGCCAAGTCCGGCAGTGCAGCCGGAAGGAGCCACTGCCGGGAAGTGAGCCCAACCGTCGCGCCACCCCAGCTCTGCTACACACCCAGCAGTGGCAGAATTGGCCACATGTGCCATTGCCCAGGTGGGAACAAGAGATCCACTGAAGGCCGGACAAAATCCTTTGGTGGGCCAGATCTGGCCTGTGGGCCATATTTTACCCACCCCTACAATAAAGCAACCTTCACAATTGCATAGAGGTGCCGAATGATTTGTTCAGGTTCCCAAATACCCACCATTACTCAGGATTCCAGACTGATCCACTTTATCCTGAATGCTAATGGAAGGAAAATTCTATATGCCTTAAGAAGCTGAATCTAACTGATGGCATTAGAGCTGATAGAATGCTAACTGTTTCAGCTCCTCATCCAAAGCTCTATAAGAAAAAGATGCCTTATCCAATAAGACCACATTTAGCACCACTGATTCAAATCATTGCTTGATCTTAACTTATGGCAAAATCCATACCAGCAGAGGGAAAAGTGAATGAAAGACTTTTGCTGAGAATTAAAAGATGCTTCACAAGGCCTGAGGGAAGCTGGGTCTGTGCCAGAGCATTCCCAACATTTAGCAGTCAAGGCCCACTAAGACTTTTGCTTACAGAGATTTTCATTCAAAACATTCCAAACTGGTTTCACGCCAGACTTCCAGGAATCTCTAGGAGGGATTCCTGAGGAAGGCTTGGAGGCTTTACCTATGACAATAGTCTGTCTGCCACATTCTCCTGAGTACACACATCTGTAAAGATTATTCTATCAAACAGATGCTACTAAAAGCCACGTGCCCATCTTCCTTCCTCCTGTAGAGCCAAGGAAATAGATTTTACAGGACTTGAAGGATTTC